CAGGAGAGTTATAACGTAGGCTGTTAACATTGCTTTTTATTAATTCTATGTGAATGTGAACTGTTTCTGATCTTGTTTTTTAATAGGGATGGGAAAGCATGCACCCAACCGATCACTGATTGCATACCATGTACCCAGAGCCATGTTAATTGGCTCTAGCAAGATGTCACATCTGGCACACAGCTGTAGTCAGGGCTACTACTTGGCTGAATTTGCTTTAGTCTGCTGTCATCCTGTAGCATCTACCTAAATCTGCAGGAGCCAGAGTGGTGAATTAAATGGAGATATGATGGGGGCCACTGCTCCTACATCCTGTAAGATCTGTAAAGGTGGCACACCCCACACACAAACCTGAAGCTGAGGGGTCTGAAAAAAAGGAATTAGCATAGCAGGCCTGAGACTGCTGGCCGTAGAAAGACCTGATTGCAAGGTTGGCTGGCATCTGGGCATTTGGATTTCAGAAGGGTTTCCACCATCCCCTAACTGATAAGAGGGGCTCTCTGTGCCTCAGCAGTTTGTAGAAACTATGTGGTTTATGCCGAGCACATTGGATAATGTGCTGATATTGGGGAATATCTTAGGCAAAGAGTACCTACATGAGCAGCCCCCAGGAAAACTTGGACACTGAATCTTTCATGAGCTTCCCTGGTAGGCAGCATTTCCTATGTGTTGTCACAATTCCATGCTACAGGCATTAAGTACTGCACTAAGAGAGGACTCCTGGAAGCTTACACCTGATAGACTTTGATTCCTCAAACTGCATTTCACCATACTTCTAAGAACTGTCACATCTCCCTTTTGGAGATTTGCTCAGGAGAAACCGTGGTGCCCATGCTCCCACATCCCTCACCTTCCTCCCAGCTGTACTTCTGCTCATAGAATTATGCCTGATGCAAAGCAGAAGCTGGAAGAGATGGAGTTGGGGGAAGAAAGTGTCGGACCAGTACAAGGAAACCTCAGAAGCAGAAGCCAGATACAATCTGTCATTTAAGAACCGCATGGGGGTCCATAGTAAGCACCAGTAACAGCAGTTTAAGAGGAAATGCTGAGAACTTAGCACATTCAACCATTTCACAAGTATTTTTCAAGTTTCAGGAACTGTATGCCAGAAAATGTAGGCACTAGGGAACCGATAAAGAAAAGACCAGTTCCTACCCTCAAGGAAGTTAGAGACTAGGAAGACGTTCCAAAAGTCATAATCCAGGGACACCAAGGAGTGCATTTCAGGAGGACGGGCTGCCTGATGCCTTTCTCCTCACTGTGCCCTGCTTTATTAGTAGACACACATGTGCAATAGAATTCATGCCGCAACCTTAAAGTATAAGGGCTTCAGTCTCAGTCTCATTCATTTAATCTTTATCTTAGGCGCATAAAGAAGTTTAGCATATTTAACATCATAACCCCATCGAGTGTGCCGCTTTCAAAGCCCCATACACTGTTGCGAGGGATACAAAGATGATTAGATGAAGGAATTCACAGCCTACAGGGACGCACATGTATGTAACACAAACACAGAGAAGTGGGCCACATGGCAGGACCATGGCAATTAACGTAGGTGACTATGAAATTAATGGAGCCTCCAAGTTCCAAAATGGAACTTAAGTGTGTCAGTGTGGGCACCTTAAAAGGTTCTGTCCCAGGGCCTGGATTCTGTTAGCACCCTCCTTAGATGTGAGAGTAGGAGACCCAACCACCTGGGGAGAACCAAACAAACCTGGGTTCAATTCTCAAGCCTGTCAGTTTATTACATATGGGACCTGGGCCAAGTTACTGAGCTTCTCTACTTACACAGTGGACAGTAATACCTTCCTCACCCTGTTGTAGTGAGAATTATATTTAACTGGTTGTAAAACATAGACCATACAATGAGCTCTCCATACATTATTTTTCTCTCTTTAAATGCCATGGCAGGAGCATGGGAAAAGGAGATAAGAACAGGAAGAAGGGCAAAACACAAGAAGGGGAAAATGAACTCGATAGGGAGATAGGGAATAATAGTAGTACGGGCAACAGTGGCCGGTTGAGCTATTTGTGCCTTAAATAAACTTTCCCTCTCTGTGGCAGCTCAAAAGCAGGCAAGGAACATTGTCCCACTGAAAGGGAAAATTTTATTTAATCGTATCCTCCCACGTCAACCCTGAAAAGTCATTTATCTTAGATATGTCTCATTCATTCATTTATTCATTCGATGTCACTTTAAACAGTGCTACTCATCATGTGGTTCAGAAACCCGTGTCCAAGTGAAGGAGCTGGCACCAGAAAGTAAATCAACTACATCACCAAGCCCACTATTTAGTCAACATGTTTTCACAGCAAGATTTTCTCCCTAAATGAAACAATGTGTTGATTTACATTGTAGAACGAGGAGCACCTTATCTCATTCTGGACTAGCTACTTTGAGTAGCACTGTCTCAGAGTACCCAGTCACTTACTAAATAGACAGTCTTTGAACTAACCTTAGCTGAGGAGTCCCTGACAGATTTGTGTCAGATAATAAATTTCCCAAATCCTTGTGGTAGAGCTTGTGCAGTTCAAAAATAACATCACATATGACTCAGCAAATCTGGCCTCATGCTTTTCAAAAGACAAGTGCTTTATCAAACAAAGATAATGAAGCATACAGGCTGTGCAGAATGCTAACCACAAATACTAGAGGTGAGCACCTTGTGGAGATGGGCGTCAGTTGCAGACTTGCCAGCAAAGTGTACTCAACGTAGAATTTAATTAGAAATGAAGGGTACTGGTGCTTATAAAGGAGGTAGACTTTATAATGGTACAACGTGCTGCCAGGCTTTACAGCTGAAGGGAATGACCTCTGAAATCCTGAGGATTTAAAAAAATGTTTTGGCTGCCACTCTATGAGTGACTGTGAGTTGTGGGTGGGTCTTAAAAGTTGGGAATGCCTTATTGAGATGTACATTTCACCTTTCTGTGGCTGTCACCATTATCTGGACATATTTTGTTGAAAAGATAGGAAATGGTTTTAGCCAGCCATGAAATGTGGCTATCCAAAGGATCAAACTCACCAAGGCCCATAGGGACTGGAAAATTTTAGAGTGAAATGAAAACGTATTCTATAATTTAAATCTAAAAACAGTTTCAGCAAGTTATTTTTAAATGTACCTTATAGCAAAGGCACTCTGCATGTGCCCAGAGAGGGCTATGGGAGGATTGTTTGTAAGAGCAGAAAATGGAAAGCAACCCAAATTCCACCAAGTGGTGAATCAATAAATAAAACTATGGTGTACCCATAAAGGCAATAACAAGCAACAATTCAAAAGAAAGAGACCAATCTATATGGATTGGCATGGAAAGAAAAGACATATTTTAAGTGAAAAAGAAATAATTTAAGTCCATTCTCTAGTAAGTCTGTGTCTTTATTCCTGTTTCACCCCTAGGTTTTTCATGACATTTTTTTTTTAATTCCATATATATGTGTTAGCATACGGTATTTGTCTCTCTCTTTCTGACTTACTTCACTCTGTATGACAGACTCTAGGTCTATCCACCTCATTACAAATAGCTCAATTTCGTCTCTTTTTATGGCTGAGTAATATTCCATTGTATATATGTGCCACATCTTCTTTATCCATTCATCCGATGATGGACACTTAGGTTGTTTCCATCTCTGGGCTATTGTAAATAGAGCTGCAATGAACATTTTGGTACATGACTCTTTTTGAATTATGGTTTTCTCAGGGTATATGCCCAGTAGTGGGATTGCTGGGTCATATGGTAGTTCTATTTGTAACTTTTTAAGGAACCTCCATACTGTTCTCCACAGTGGCTGTATCAATTTACATTCCCACCAACAGTGTAAGAGGGTTCCCTTTTCTCCACACCCTCTCCAGCATTTATTGTTTCTAGATTTTTTGATGATAGCCATTCTGACTGGTGTGAGATGATATCTCATTGTAGTTTTGATTTGCATTTCTCTCATGATTAGTGATGTGATGAGGCTATGGGGAGGGGGAAGTGTAAACGGTGACAAAGCGATAAAGAGGCATGGACATATATACACTACCAAACGTAAGGTAGATAGCTAGTGGGAAGCAGCCGCATAGCACAGGGAGATCAGCTCGGTGCTTTGTGACCGCCTGGAGGGGTGGGATAGGGAGGGTGGGAGGGAGGGAGACGCAAGCGGGAAGAGATATGGGAATATATGTATATATATAACTGATTCATTTTGTTGTGAAGCTGAAACTAACATACCATTGTAAAGCAATTATACTCCAATAAAGATGTTAAAAAAAATAAAAAAAATAAAAAAAAAAAAGAAATAATTTAGAAGGCAACACAAAATATCCCATTTATATAAAAATTTTTTAAAGCCACCCACAGAACAGTTTCTGAGTGTGCATGTATGTAAATATATAGGAAAAGGTATGGAAGGATATATGGCAAACTGTTAAAAGTGCCTAGTTCTAGAGAAGGGAGCATATACTTCCGGGGGAGGGGGCGGGGGCGGTGTGAGAGAGAGAGAGAGAAAGGAGAGGAAGGAAAAAGGCAGGCAGGGAGGGCGGGAGAGAAAATAAAATGTTAACAGCGTTCTACAAATTTAAATCAAAACTATGCCATTTCTGAAAAACTAGTAGTTGCTTGTTACCATTACCCTCATCATCTCCTGGAGACATTGGCTAAAGTTGAATCCAAGTCTTAAATTACTACCATTTCCTGTTACTCCTGGATATTTCCAAGAACTCTCTCAACCCCCGCCAGCTTTACTATTGCAAGTTACAGAAACCACTGTCTGGGAAGGTATGATGACAAGATTTTAGTTAGCTTGCCTGTGACTGATCACCTAGCAGAACCCCAAAGAATACCCCCTTCATTTCCTGTTGAGAAATTTCCCATTCAGCTTTCCAACTGACTCAATACCTCAAAAAACTGAAAAACAGGACTTCAAAGTACTGCTACCTGAGAAGTATTGCACACTCTCATAGAACTTTTCACAATCTTCATAAATCCTCACATTCTGCCTTTTCTTTGTTTTGTTTCAGATATCCAGGTTCTAGAGGAGATGTTTGTCCAAGACAGAAAGTTGTATTATTTTTCAGTAGTAATGATAGCTAACATTTACATGGCACCAATCTCCACTGAAAGTGCTTAAATGGTATTAACTCATTTAACCTATGAGGTGGGTACTCTTATTATTCTCATTTTATAGATGAGGAAATTAGACAAGCCAGGTAACTTGCTCATGGTCTCACAGCTGGTATAATGACACATTTTCTCGCTGTTATACAGAGACACGTTGTCGACCCTGATCTACAACGCCAGACCCAGAGATTTCGATTCAGTGAATGCTGAATTACTATTGAATATTCAAAACACCTGAAGGCCAGACTTCAATCATTCCATTCAGGAGCTCCTACTGGGGCAGTTAGAGGCTGAAGGATAAAATGTGAACTCACCCTATGTCTGAGGCTGGGGAAAGCCCACAGTGACTCATCGCCACAATCTGGATCTGTCTGATGCTACTGCCAAGCATAAACAGGGCGGCTGAGCACGCAGGGTGAAGTCACCTCACCGCATATATAGCCAAGACACTCAGGTATCCACAGCTTCCACCTGCTCGGGAGTCTGTCTAGTCACCGGGTTTCTCTCAGCTCTCAGGAAGAATGCATGGAATGAGAAAAAGATCGGTCTTAATCTCTGCAAATGCCTTACCCAGCCACTGGAACTGACGTAATTTTCTACTCCCTGTCTACTTCTATAGTTTGTAATCAAATACAAGAATATAAAAGTTAATAGCTGTTCTTTCCATAGCAAGCAGCACTAGACTTAGAATCTTTATGCTCTCTGTGATTTGTTTCTATAAGTCTATGTTGGGAATACTTTAAAATCCATTTTAGCATACCACATGCCGTGCACTGTGTACGGCTTCAGGTATAGCTGGATTCAGAGGTTCAAATGTTGTTGTCAGAATCTGATATCTCTCCACTCTGCTTTATTGAGCAGACTCTCTCTTCATGTCTCTTCCCAACTTCAAGTCCAAAGGCAAAATGTGTGCCTTTTTTCCAATCACTTATACAAAAGACCCAGGACTAGTTTTTTTCTTTCTTTCTTTCTTCCCTTTTTTTTTTTTTTTTTTTTTTTGTGGTACACGGGCCTCTCACTGCTGTGGCCTCTCCCGTTGCAGAGCACAGGCTCCGGACCCGCAGGCTCAGCAGCCATGGCTCACGGGCCCAGCCGCTCCGCGGCATGTGGGATCTTCCCGGACCGGGGCACGAACCCGTGTCCCCTGCATCGGCAGGCAGACTCTCAACCACTGCGCCACCAGGGAAGCCCGTGTCTTTCTCTTTCTGACCTACTTCACTTAGTATGATCATCTCTAACTCCAACGTCCGTGCTTTTAAGCACTTGTGACCGCCCACTCCCATTCCTCCAGCAGCTGACAGGAAACAAACCAGGCATCTTACGGGCAGTTTGATGAATCAGAGGGGGCCTTGGAAGGACAAATCACTAAGTTAATCTCCCAAAATTTTCATGTTTGTTTAGACAGTGACCATGATGGCTACTAGAGAAGATAGTTTTCTGACTCTGCTGCTCTTGGCTCCTTGACAAAAGCAGAGAAGAAGTCGTAATCCCTGATCCAAGATCTGTGAACAGCCTCTTCAAACTGCCGGGGTCACAAAGCCTTTAGATAACGTCCTCCCTGTCCTGTTTGGTTTTGTTAAGTAAGTAAGCTACACAGAAGGAAGCGGTGCTGTACATTTCCTGGACAGATTCTTTCTCTTGCTGAGGGAGACCTATATACACAAGTAATGAGAAGGCACTAAGAGGGGAAGTTTGAAGGAATTAAAAGGATAGTGAGGGCGTGGTTGTCCACAATCCAACTCCAACCAAGGACAGATGAATGACGTTTGGCTGTCATTACAAGAAGCTCTGGTTGACAAATACTGTCTGGTATTTCCTTGCTGATTTCTTACCCTCACACCACAGGCCCTAATCCCTGTGGTCCACTATGCAAATGAAAACTCCCTGAATCAGTCTGCAGGTGACTCACCAACCCCTTTTAAGCCACGTTGGGTTCAAGGCAGTGACTGCTTGGGGTAGAAGCCATGGCTCACAGACTCTGCTTCTCCTACTGGCTACTGGTCTGCTGGTTGGTGGTAACTGTGGCAGAAGGTAAGGGTTTTGTTTTTATTCTACTGTGGGTCCAGTAATTGATAAGTTGTGTGAAAAGACAAAATTTGGCTCCATGATTATGCATATCGTGAACTGGAACTATTTACGTCAGCTTTCATCAGCCTGTGTGGTTAAAGAGGCTGAATTTTATCATCGGAAGGTCCTAGTCTCAGCCCTAGCTATGTGACTCTAGACACACTTAACTGTTCTGATTTCCATTTCCTCAAGTGTGAAGTGACAGCATTAATGATGTCCATTATTATGGGGGTCGTGAGGACCAAATGAGCTATCATGCAAGAAAAGCTCTTCATCCTTCAAGCACTATATGAATACTAGTTATTATTGATATAGAGCTAACAATTTCCACCCTGAATTACAGCAATGTCCACCTCTTTATATGCCCAACAGCCTGGTATTTTGCCCATGGTGGGTGTTCAGTCTCTGTTTATTAACTGCTTTAATTGATCACATCTAGTCAGTTGTGTCTTGGTGCTGCGGAGGTTAGCCTAGACTTCTTTCTTTAAGGTTCTATTAGATTCAATTTCTCCCCTACTCCTTTCTCTTTCCTTTTCCCCCACTACAAAATTTCCAGATGGCCTGAGCCAGAGCACTGGTTTACAAACGCTGGGGACAGGAAAGAAAAGGGGGAGAGCCCCAGGAGTCAAACTGAGTCCTCCACCACTTTCACGTGGCCTGGGGCTTTGCAGGAGCTCAGACAGACCCTAGTCATCCCCTAGCAAGTTCCCTGCACCCATCCACCAAAGCTCACAACAGAACAGAAAGGGGCAGGGACATCAGAGGTGGTGGTGAGGCCACCAGAGATCACCTTGTCCAATCTCTGTATGAACTCAGGCGATCAGAGGGCAAGGAGACAGATTACAAAGAACACCTGCCCGATTCCCAAGACAAGACCTGCAAACATCACCCGCTAAAAGTGACATCTGAAAGTGGCACCATAACACAAAACCTGACACCGGGCACCTTTCCAGAAAGTCAACCACTCTTCAGGAAACCTTGTAAATACGTAGCTAAATAAGTTATAATGAGATTAGAGGTTTATTCACATTTTTTTTTAAAACACCATTAAAATGTGATTTCTGATTTAGGCTCACTCTTCCCCACTATCCCTCAGACTAGCCTCAAAGACCTTCAAATGCAGCTTCACTCTCTCCAGGCAGCCCTGGCTCCAGGCCATCACCCACTTACACATGCCCTGGCTCTGCCAGACGGGGTCATGTGTGGGTCTCCAAACCCACCCTGTTCTCTCTCTCCTCCACAGCAGCAGCTATGGTTGCCCCCGCTCCTGATTTCACCTCTGTTTATTGCAATTCTGCTTCACATGGTGACGTTTAATGTCACTATAGTATTACCTTCACATAAGGTTTTCTTAAGACACAGCTTTAAAATTGCAATCTCCCTCTCTCTGACATCTTTGAATTCTTAGAGCAATTTGTATATCACCGTGGTCCATACTGCATTCTGCTCTGCATTATAGATCCATGTACTTGTAGCGTCTCCCCACCTCTCGAGGGCAGGCCCCGTGTCTTCATCATCTCTGCATTTGTCACAGCACGTAACAAAGTAACCTGCACACTGTTGAAACTACTAGACTTATAGCATAGGATTGAAAGAGGCCTGTGTGAACTGATATAAACTGGGCTCCTATGTCTTTACCTGTGAAATTAGAGATTTGGCTAAAATAGCCAGTTATTCTGTGAGTCTACAAAATGAATTAAGTTGCAGTTACTGTGAGCAAATTAATCACAGGACTTATATTTCTTTTTGGTTCGACTCTAAAGGCACCTGAGAATTTTTGTGATACTCCAAGTGTAAAAGAAGAACTGCATACTTATACATCAAGTATAAAACTTACTTCTCTTAGAAATCAGGGTAGTTCACTACAAACCAGCTATTGTCTGCCCAAATAACCACAGGGTACAGATAATTATATATATTTTAAAAAGGTCATCTCACCCTTACTTTTTTTTCTTTTAAGTACTAGTTGTCAGCATACGATGAATTTCATGTCTAGACTATAGTAAACCCACTTAAAATTGATGTCCAAACTCCAAGCAATATTTTGGGTCTTGATTATTTTATTATCTTTTAATTTTTTAAATTTATTTTATTTTATTTTTGGCTGCATTGGGTCTTCGTTGCTGACTGAGGGCTTTCTCTAGTTGCAGCAAGCGGGGGCTACTCTTCGTTGCGGTACGCAGACTTCTCTTTGCAGTGGCTTCTCTTGTTGTGGAGGACAGGTTCTAGGCGCACGGGCTTCAGTAATTGTGGCTTGTGGGCTCTAGAGCACAGGCTCAGGAGTTGTGGCATACGGGCTTAGTTGCTCCACGGCATGTGGGATCTTCCCAGTCCAGGGCTGGAACCCGTGTCCCCTGCATTGGCAGGTGGATTCTTAACCACTGCGCCACCCGGGAAGCCCTGTCCTCTAATTTTGAATGTAAGTTATTATTGCAATTTTCCTGGGACTGGAGGGATTTCCCTGGCGGTCCAGTGGGTAAGACTCTGCACTCCCATGTCAGGGGGCACAGGTTCAACCCCTGGTGGGAGAACTAAGATCCTGCATGCCGGGCAGCGAGGCCAAAAAAAATTTTTTTTTAAATTTTTTTCTGGGACTGGAATGAAATACTGAGCTTCACAAAAATCCACAGAGAGGAACTCAGCATCTACACTCAACATCTGCCTCATTCAATTAATCAGCTATGTACTGGGCATGAGGCCAAGCCAGGGACTGTTCTGGGTACTAGGGACATAGCAATGACCAACAGAGTCAACAGGCCTTGTGTTGATGGAGGCCCAATAACAACAGCTAAGACCTACCAAATGCATGTGTCAGGCATGTTCTCAGCACTTTACAAGCCAGTGAGATAGGTAGTATTATTTTCTCCATTTTACAAATAAGGAAAAGAAGACTGGGAGAAGTTAAGGAAGCTGTCGATGGTCACACAATTATTAAACGGCAGAGCTCAGGGATCCTATGCCGTTCTGCCTCTCAAAATGTTTCCAATCTGCACTTAAATATTTGACCTACTTTGGTCTAATTATGGTTGCAAAAGAGCTCTTTGTGTTTGATATTCAGTATCTTTGGTGTCATGTCAGTATGTTACATAATGAGAAATATTTGCTTATTAATGATCACATTATCCCTGAGAGGTAGGAATGTGGTAACTTTTGAAATTATGGAAACTGAGATTTCTCTCAGTCTGTTCAAGTCCACCATAGGCACTGGGCTAGCGATGAGACCAGGTGTACAGAATGATCAGACAGATACTTCAGTGCAGGAGGAATACAACCGCTGAATGGTAATCACATGACTGATGAATATGATGAAAGTGGACTCACAGGGTGCTAGGGAAGCATATTGCCAGGGGCCTTAAGCCAGCCTCAAGGGAGGGAAGGCCTCCCTGAGGAAATGAGACATGATCTACCATAAACTTCTTTGGTTCTACTTCTCTCACTTCTAAGAGAACTCTACACACTTCTGAGTCTATTTTTTCCCACCTATTTAAGCCACTGGAATCTGACTCGGTTTCCTCCATTCCACAAAAACTACTTCAAAAAAATCATCCATGGCTCTGGGCTTTTAAAATTCTGGTTCCAGATGCCTAGAGCACCGTTGTCAGGAGGATTTGGAGAATAGCCTCAGTTTTAAGAAGTAGAAAAAGCACAAGGGGTGGGTGTTTTTAAAAACTGGAGTCCAGCTTACTGAGTGGCAGAGCCCAAGACCTAGCTAAGCCTGATCTGATAGCAAAATGTCAAGACGGAGCTTAAGAATAAGGCTAGCTTCAGACTCCCCTGGTGGCGCAGTGGTTAAGAATCCGCCTGCCAATGCAGGGGACACGGGTTCGAGCCCTGGCCCGGGAAGATCCCACATTCTGCGGAGCAACTAAGCCCGTGCGCCACAACTACTGAGCCTGCGCTCTAGAGCCCGCGAGCCACAACTACTGAAGCCCGCATGCCTAGAGCCCATGCTCTGCAACAAAAGAAGCCACCACGATGAGAATCCCGCGCACCACAACGAAGAGTAGCCCCTGCTCGCCGCAACTAGAGAAAGCCCGTGCATAGCAACGAAGACCCAACGCAGCTAATAATATATAAATTTTTTTTTTAATTTAAGAATAAGGCTAGCTTCTCCCCTAGTGACTGGATTCTCAACAGAAAGTTTTCATGTTACAAAGGTTCAGAATTGATCTGATTGTGTAGAGGAAAGAATGAGTAATATGGGATTTAATCATCTTCTGTAGTTAGAAATGTCTTAATCTAGTTTCAGCCATAAGATTTTAATACTCAGTAGCCTGGGTGGGTATGGGAGAAAGGGTCAGTATTTAATTCAAGAAACAGACACCCATTCAAGCTGGCTTAAAAGAAAATGAATAGAGCTGGAGGTGGGGTGATTATTATAAAGATATTTCCAGGGAACTTAAGTACAGCCAGCCCTCAAAAAGACCAGCCCTGAGAAAGTCAAGAGTCAAGGTTACTCTCATCATCACTCTGTTACCACAGAGGCACTTGTCTCTTTTTCTCTTTGAGAGACTTTCCCCATTTTACAGCTATGGAAATATTGGTTTCTCTGTTTATTAAACATTCAACTGGCCAATACCTGACACTCCAGCCCCCGCCCTACCACTTCCAGTAACATCTTCCACTAGCTGTGTCTCTGTTGAAATTCTTGAGTGAGAATCTGATTGGTCACTGGCCAGCCAATGAATGAGTTGAGTGTCTAACAACAGTCCAATCAGCCATAGCCAAAGGAGTGTAGTACTGACCTTTCCAGATGTTATGGGTGAAACAGAATCTCTAGAAGGGGCTTTGAATAAGCAGACCCAGTATAACCAAGAAACCTGAATTCAGCTGTTTGAAAGGTGAGGGGAATCTAGCTCTCAACTTACTGTGAGGAATTCATTTTTCCATCATTCACACTCAGCAACCCTTTCCAGGCCTGTTTTGGTAAGTCTCTAAGGGAGTGAAGAAATAATTTCCTAAAGGAAAGCTTGCTTTTCGCAGCCAGTTTGATTGTATGATACAGTTAGAGGGAAGACCTTGACACTGGAGGTTGATCCAAATTTCTTCTCAGAAATTAATGTCATCCTGGTCCTCAGTGCTCATTCCCCTGGAGCAAGTAGATGTTCCCTCCCTTCCTCTTCAGGGAATGATTTCACTGCTGGGGAAGTGAAGCAGGCCTTTTCTTTACATTACTTTTTTTCCATCAAATTTTCTTTCTTTATGTATAATTTATGCACAATAAAATGCACAAATCTTAAGGGTATATATTGATCACATTTTAGATATGTGTGTGTGTACATTTGTATTTTTGTGTATATAGGTATGTATGTGTAAATATAAATGTGTGTGTGTGTATATCTATCTCCATATTCATGTAACAACCACCCAGATCGAGATCTAAAGAATTCACTGGTTACTTTTTCCACTAAATAACACCTACGCTAACCCTAAGCTAACTATTTTTGACTTTTTTTTTTTACCATAGATTAGTTTTGCTTGTTCTTGAACTTCATAAAAATGGAATCTTACAGTATGTATTCTTTTGTGTCTAACTTCTTTGCTCAACATAACATCACAGGATACATCCATGTTGTTGTATTAGTAATTCTTCCTTTTCATTGCTGAGTATTCTTTCATTGTATGAATACACAGTTTGTTTATCCATTCTCCTATTGATGGACACTGGCATTGTTAGCAGGTTTGGGTTAATGTTAATAAGACTGTTGTGAACGTTCTTGAACTAGTCTTTTGTAGATATAAGCACTCATTTCTCTTGGGTAAATTCCGAGTGGAATTTCTGGGTCATAAGGAGTGTCCGTGTCTCATTTTCCTGGGCTGGGCAGTTCTCTCAAACATGCTTTGAGACTCTAGAATTCTCTCTTCCCCTCTTTCTCCCCTGCCTCCACCTGAAGACTCTCCCCTCTGCTCGTGTCATCAGGCCTGTTTCCTGACTTGCGCTTTTCTCCCCACAGGACAGGAAGAGGTATTCACCCCTCCTGGAGACTCACAAAATAATGCAGAGCCTACAGACTGCCAGATCTTTACACTTACCCCTCCTCCCACCACAAGGAACCCAGTGACGAGGATCCAGCCCATCACCAGGACACCCAGGTGTCCCTTCCATTTTTTCCCACCACAAAGGCCCAGAGGCCACATTAGGTTCCCATACAGACCTTTCCTCCCTCCGAGGTGCTACCACCATTTTCAGTTCCATCCATTTTTTCGGCCGCACAGTCGCCTTCCTCCTTATTATTATTTCCCCAGAAGAAGACTCTGGAGAGGAAGCTCCTCTGAGGAAAGCAGAGAAAAGAGAGAAGCGCCAAACATGCTGAAGTAAAAGAAGCCAAGGCCTCAGGAAAAAGATTTCTGTTTTCAGTGACTAAACTAAAACTATTGGACTGGAAAATTAAGCATCGGTGATATCTCATTGTGGTTTTGATCTGCATTTCCCTGATGATTAGTGATGTTGAGCCTTTTCATGTGCCTGTTGGCCATCTGCATGTCTTCTTTGGAAAACTGTCTATTCAGTTCTGCCCATTTTTTAATCAAGTTGTTTGTTTTTTTGATGTTGAATCGTATGAATGCTCAGGTACTTTTATACGTAAGAAAAAAATAAAGAAAACCACTTCTTTCCTTTTTCAAGCACAGAGCATGTTTGACTAATTTTCATAATAAAGTGTAAGTAAGTATCAGGTTCCAATAGGAACTTCCTTGTTCTAAACAGCAGAAGGACCAAAGCATTGAGGAGTGGGAGGTACAAACGAGCAGACACAACTGGAGCAGTGTATTTGGGGCAATAAATTCTGTATACCTGAGCAACTCCTAGAGTTATCACCAGGTAAAAGCACTGAGTCATCATAAAACAGCTCTAAACTGGAAACAGCATGAATGTCCACCAACAGTAGAAAGGGTAAATAATGATCATCTCATATCCTAGAATACAACACAGCCATGAAAAACAGCAGATCGCTGCTTCACACAACAACATAAATGAATCTCACAACTTCGTGTTGAGTGAAAGAAGCCAAACACAAAAGAATACATACAGTAAGATTCCATTTATATGAAATTCAGGAACAAGCAAAACCAACCCATGGTGATGTGATAGAGGTCAGAATAGTGATGACTTTTGAGGGGATATTGGCTGAGTAAGGGCAAGAGGGAGCCTGCTGGGACCTGAAAATATTCCATTTCTTAATCTGGGTGATGGTTACACAGGGTGTACACATTTCTAAAAATTCACCAAGCTGTATGTTTAAGATTTATGTATTTTACAATATGTAAATTATCTTTCAATTGAAAATGTTTTAAATGCTGCAGTGCAGAGGAAATCAGTAAAGGTATGCTAATTATAACTGTAGATTTAATTTGTTAAATAAGCTTTCAAATATTTCACTGACTGGTAGTTGGCAAGGTTATATTAAGTAATATTTCACTGATAAGTCAGACATAGAAAGACAAATACTGTATAATATCACTTATATGTGGAATCTAAAAAAGCCAAATTCACAGAGAGTAGAGTGACTGGGAGAGGTGGAGAAATGGGGAGATATTGGTCAAAAGGCACAAACTTCCACTTCTAAGATTAACAAGTCCTAGGGATCTAATGTACAGTGTGGTGATTATAGCTGATAATACTCTATTATATATTTAAAAGTTGCTAAAAGAGTAGATCCTGAATGTTCTCATCACAAAAAAGAGATGGTAATTGTGTAACGGGATGGAGGTGGTAGCTAATGCTTTGGTGGTGACCGTTTTGCAACAGGTAAGTGTTACAAAATCAACATGTTGTACACCTTAAACTTACACAATGTAATATGTCAATTACATCTCAATAAAGCGGGGAGGGGGAGGCACTATTTCACTGAAATATCACCTCATAACAGTAAGCAGAAGGGACTTCCCTGGTGGCGCAGTGGATAAGACTCCATGCTTCCAATGCAGGGGACCCAGGTTCTGATCCATGGTCAGGGAATTAGATCCCACATGCTGTGACTAAGAGTTCACATGCCACAACTAAGGAACCTGCGCGCCGCAACTAAGGAACCTGCGCACCGTAACTAAGACCCAGCGCCACCAAATAAATAAATACTAAAAAAAAAAATAACAGTAAGCAGAAGACTTTGCATATTTTTTAGCACGAAGCAATATGTATTTGTCTTTCCCAACTAAGGCAAATTTAAACCAGAAATTTTTTAACAGCCTCAAATATAACCCTATAGTTGGCTATCAAAAGAACCAGAAAAAGAGAGAAACACACATTCTGAACAGAAGTTATCTCCCACAATGTTGACATTGGAAATTTATGATAAGCATGAATTGGACAGTAGCAGTTCAATGATTTGTGTAGAAGGGGCCATCTATACTAATACATCTGAAACCTCTTGACACAGATGTCCAGGTCCTTAACAGTGGCCTGCATGACTCGGCCTCCCCACGCCTCATCCCCAGCCTCTTCCTCTCTGACCTCATCTCACACTACTCTTTTCCCTTCTCACTCCACTCCAGACACACTGCCCTCCTTGCTGGTCCTCACACCAAACGCACTCCCTCCTGAGGACTTGTGCCCTGGCGGTCCCTCTGGCTACGGTGCCTTTGACCCAGATAATACAGGTTATCCATAGGGGTCCTCCCCTCACTTCTTTCAGGACCTTCATAAAATGCCACCTCTCAGTTCCTGGCCACCCGAATTAAATGTGCATGCACAGACCTACTTCCTCCTCCCATTCCTGGCTTTATTTTTATCCCTAGCACGAATCACATTCAATCATTCTATATGTATTCATAGTTTCCTCTTTTATTATTTGTCTGTCACATCAGAAAGTAAGCTCTTTAAAAGCAGTGATTTGTATCTATTGTGTTCATTCCTTTATCTCCAGGACTGAAAACAATCCTTGCATATAGTAGGGATTCAATAAATATTTGTTAAATAAATGATCTTTTAAGGCTCCTGGTATTTTAACCCTATTTGCTTCCAAATCAATTCCCACATGTCAGAGGAAGTCTCAGGATTTTAAAATCTTCTCCAGCAAAAAAAGAACTTCTATTGAGGAGAGAAAGATAAGGTATAAACATCTCTCTCAAATAAAACAGTTACTGGCCACTGGTGCATGCTTTCAAACTTCTTTGAAGAATTTTAACATGAGTCTTTCTCTTTTCAGTGCTGATAAATTTTTTCCCTTTCAGTAGTTCGTTAGAAAATAGGTCAGAATGGTAACCAGAGACAGAGAATCCTCCAATTTAATTGCTCACTTAATTTTGTAATTTTTTCAGGCTTTTATTAGTAGAATCTATCACTTTTTTCAAAATCTGAGTCCAATACTCTTTGTAAAATCTCTCCAGGCTAGGTCAAGACATACAGATTGCCTGGGAAGCTATTATCTGAGATGCCTCTTCAAACTGTTATTCTTTAAATATCTGTTCAACAAGCAAGGAGAAACTGATTTTCTGACAACAAAATTTATAGATATCTTGGCTTATGTTCTAAATAGGTGATTTATTACATGTTCTGTACATAGTAAACACTTTACCTTTTTTTGGAAAAATCTTTCACCATGTTCCTTCACTTGGGGAATTAGATGCCCACCATCACTCAGAATAGAGGTAGATTTCATATCGTCATAGAATTGTGTGCAAAATGTGTCTTAAGTTTCTGTTTCCATGCTGGCAAAGTATTTCTCTTTTCCTATAGCCTCTTTTCAGTTTTCATTGGTGATTTATGTTTTCAAATCAACATGTTGAGAGGTATATCGAGGACTTTATTTTTAGACACATAATAGATAACTTGTTTCCCCTAAACAACATGCCCTACACTTTTGTAAATTCAGAACTCCAGTGGACTGACTGCTGACTTAACATACATCTTAGCTGACTGACACCAAGGTTGGAAATGTGCCTCAGGCTGTACCATGCAGACTCCCTATGCTGCATTCCAATATAATCAAGAAAAGTGGCCAGAGCCACAGTGTGGACTAATTTTCCAATTTCCATTCATTGTGAGCATCAACTTACATTTTGCTGCTTGTAAATCACACTTGAAGACCATATTTCCGATTCATTCCAAAGATGTTCAGCGCCCTTTTGTTGGATTAGCTCTCTTGGAAGTAGCCTGATCAGCCTTCCTGCCACTCTGCATTTGCCCATCCGCTCCCATTTCATCGTTGTGAGGCAAATTTACTTTCATAACTCTTCAGGTTTTTTTTCTTTTGCTCAGGATTCTCAGTGAAGTCCACAGCTCCTCCTCATTGCCCCCACGCTCCCACCAGCCTAGCTCTCCTCCAGCCACTGGTTCTGCCTTGCTGACCTCTGAGTCACCAGCCACCTGCTGACAGTAGGGGAGCCCTGATCCAATCAGAGAGATAAACGCCACGTGCGTTGGGTCTCCTCCGCTCCCACTCTGCTTCCTAAACCTTTTAAGACCGGACTAACAGAGAGTTTAACTATCAATGTCCACCAGGGCGCGCCCCTCCACGGCCGGCACCATCTGATGGCCCGTCTATTACAGTTCTTCCTTGCCACCCCTGCGGTTCAAATAGATTACGCAATCCTTAACACTGGGCCCTTAAAAACGGGGAAAGAAGACGGCTTATTGCATGGACAAAAGAGTAGATAATACCCCTCAGGTGAAATTTATCGCAGGTTTTAGCGCTTCTCTCCTTGGGAAGGAAATCGCTCTCTACTGCCCCCTCTTGGATCACGCTTGACAGCCCTGGGCAGTCCTGGGCGGAGCCAAAGGAGTAAGGTGTCGTCGTAGTGAAATGGATGTAAGGCCAGCTGCAGCAACCCTCGAGCTCAGACCTTTCACAACCCTCCTTAAATAATTCCTGTCCATCCGAACAGAGCTGACGTCTTCATTCCTCTGCCCTAGAAGGGAAAAAGTGCTTCTCTCGCATTAACTTATTTCCTCCCAAGACTCAGCAGAAGAAAGGGGATCTGAACACCTTACTTAGGAGGACAAGTATAATTTAAAATACATTCTTCTGGCTGGGCTGCATTTCCCAGTTTAAAATAATTTTTGATCTACAATATACCTTGAGCCAAGCTATATTATCTGAATCTGGTGTTTACCTTTGTTTTCAGGAAGTATGAAACACATCTACAAAGGAAAATCTCCAACACTCAAGCCTCACTTTTTAAGACCTTTAGTATCCTTTCTTCAAAGAAGGAACCCAAGTGACCAATAAATATCTAAAAAGAAAAAATCTATGAAAACATGTGTAACCTCAGTAGTAATCAAGAAAATGTAAACTAAAGCAAGACAATCTTCACTCAGCAGATTGGTCCACATGGAAATTATTAGTAGTATTATCTACCATAGTCCAGGCGTGGGGAGGTACTTTCCCAGACACTGTTGGTGAGAATGGAAATTGGTACGGCATTTTTGGAGGACAATTTGGCAGAATGGGTGAAAATCTAAAAGGAAGCATACATTTGCAGCTTCAAAACATCCTTATCTGGTGAGCACTGGGACTGTTTTCTCCAGCATCCATGTCCTGTATGCCTCCCCAGCTCTGCGGAAGCCTGGTGGTTCCATGGGTAGGCTGTCATTAGCCTAACCTGTTTATAATCAGTATAATCAGTATAATCCTGTTTCCTTTTGCTCTTGTTATTAATTCAAGCAAAGGAATGTAACAGAGCCCCAAGCCAA